GCCCAACGTCAAGTCCTTTATCGATTTTTCCCTTTTAAATTCTACAGCTCAGACTGACTTAAGGAGACCACGCGAATTGGCCAAGGTAATTCCCTTTTGACAACATTTTTTAATCTTTTCTGTGTTCAAAGGCAGATTTCCTAGTGTTCATTTTACTTAACCATACATTATCTCTACTCCAAGTTTTTTCTGAATGTGGTAAAATTTAAAACAAACGTGTAAAGCAGGATTTATTTGTACCATTGACTAGGGTCTGACCTGTAGAAAAGGTTCGTCGATTTAGTTCCGTAGTTGAAGGGGGACGTATAGTACTCTAAAAATTACATATTTATCGTGAATGCAACATTTGGATTTCTTTGAAATTAAACAGCGGCGTATTAAAAAGACAGCTGACTTCTCTTACGCGTGATATCCGCTGCAGGCTCTGGAATGCATGAGACGACATTCCTGATGTGACGCAGATATTTTGGTGGACATATTTAAATCACGGTAAAACATAGAAAGATTTCTGGAGAAAAGCCGCACAGGATGGCTACAAAACGGGAACATAACATACACATCAAGAAAGCTGTAATGTTCAAACTCACCCATCGAGGCTGGCAGCTCAAACAACCTGACTTTGTCAAACGCTTAATCCGCTCAAAGTTCGATTATCCGGAGGTTCAAAATCGTAAATTATTTCCCTAAAGCTTCGGTTCTATGTCTAAAATCTAAATTTGGAACTTTTTTACGTCTGTGAAAAAAGTTTTACCGAACCTGTGTCATAAATGATTCCAATTAGGACGGGTCAAGGGTGGCAGAGCTCATAAAGGGAAGAAACATAATTTGAACGGTTCTTCGCAAATAAACGCACCCATACTTATTTGGATGGCTTATAAGTGACCATTTAGTCTTACTGACACTGTCGCAAGCAATTTTTTCTTTGAATCTGTGACTGTTTTGATCGATTCCTCTCCTTACTATGGTTGACGTTAACCTTATATAACCTTGCAGGTAATCGAGTTTCGCAATGGCACACGTAGCTGCCGGAGAATCGCAATTAAACATCAGTAGCGGTAGTAGAAGTAGTGTCGTCTTGTAGCACGACAACAACTGCTAGACTGATTCTATTGCAAAACGTGGACGGAGACATACTAGGGAAATGTCACAGAAGCCCGAACTTGGTGAGCGCCAAGCGATGAGACCGAGGTCCAAAATTTATCTGGCCTATCTAATTACTATAGGAAGCCAACTGTGTACTATATCCCCATAGGCTTCTGAAAATAAATGCAATTCTTTAAACTTGACTTCAAGTACATCTGATCACGTTCAGAGGCAAGGGATATATTTTAAACTTTCCCTACTTCTTTTGGGGTTCTCTCATAGCATAATGCATATTAGTAAAATTTTTAGTTTCGTCGGATATAACATCATTATAAATTTCTTCGCTATAAGTATACTTCAGATTTCGCCAAAATTAATGCCTTTTACCCGCCATAAGCTAGCCTAAAAGGCCAGTTTTTCTTACTAAAAGGCTTTCTCAGAATTAAATCGACGCAGTGGATCAAAATACTGTGACCACAAACAGTACGGCACAGAATTCGTGCAACATGCAGACATATGCGAAAGACTGATACTCTCTCGCTAAACCGCATTGAGTAAGGTTGTAATACTGATCACCATATAGTTTAATCTGAAGTCATTTCAGTCACCAAAGGATGCAGGCTTTTTAACGAGCTTCATTCTGACCGCTAACAAAAAGCATATATTGTAAAAAATGAACACTTAAGTAGTTTGCATTTTATCGTTGATTATGACTGCCTTTATAAATTCAAATATATTTGATGGAAAACATATACGAGAATAAAATATGTCTCATTCTCATTTGATAGGACATTACGCCTTTAAATTTTATACTTATAGAAAGGTCATCTTTCGGTATTAAAATGTTTCTAAATTGCCGAATAATTTTGAAACCTACTGACTGCTAAACTTTAATTCATGGTTTACAAACTGCGCGCTGTGTACATCCTGTTTAAGGAAAATTTCGTTTTTACTGTTTGAGAAAGAAAGCACATAGTTCTCATAAAATATTACAACAGTTGTGGAAAATTCTGTATACATTATAGGCAGCATTAATAAATTGACGGATACGATGTTTTATGAATGAACATCTCACAATCGTAAAAACGTTCACAAGTCGAAACTTTTCTATAACCGAGAGATACCCTCTGTTGAAGTACAAAATTTAAAGAATGCCTAATTCGCCAGCAAACTAATAAAAGAGATAATTTTTCCTGCATATTTTCCATAAAATATGCTAGAATCTATAAAGGTAATACTATATGTTATGCCAACGTTTTGACTACTGCTTCAGTCACTAGTCTTCAGCAGTTTTTGCACGGAGAGTGCTCTCGAATATATGCATGACCAAATAATTCTTCCCATTCACAGCCCTACAGGAGGCGTCAAATTTCACAATGATGGCGGTCAAAGACGCCTACGGACTTCAAGTCGCCCACTGTCTCAAAAAGTGCAACTGCCAGCGCAGGAAGGCTTCTTCACTTAAATTTGTCAGACACGTCTGGCGTGCCGTGCATCGAATTTGGCGCCTGTTTATGCGACTTGTTGCCGCGCTGCGAGCCTTCGTGGTGCGAGTAGTCTTCATTGGAATAACGATTGCAATCATTTGGTTAGTGGTTTATGTCAAGCAGCAACCACTTTACTGGTGTCTCCTGTTCAGTCTCCTTCCCCTCCTCTTGGACCTCCACATCGCCACTCAGGCATACCTGGATCCCGAAAGCTTTTCAGGGTCTGTCGAGAAGTGGTGAGTGCTTCAATCTGTTTTACTACACTGGCTGGGCTAGTAGTCACATATTGTAAGATAAAGTCGCCAGTGACCAACGAGGCCGATGCACGATGTGCATGTGTGATGATAATTAGGGCAGTGTGCACTCCAAACTATTTTGGCTCACTAGCTGTTCTGGTAATTTTTCTTCTTCTTCTTCTTCTTCTTCTTCTTC